TTCATATGGCTCCATTGATCCTAAAAGAAATTTAGAATGATCTAAGTATAAGAAGACTTAAAATGTGATTCTTTGGGATGTTTCGTAGGTTCTTGATGTACTTTATTTGCCTCTTATTTGAGTTATCGTATTTTCATATGCTGTTCTGTTTGCCTTACATGCAAGTACTATTCCACATGTACTCACGTCCCTTTTGCCGGGGGCACTGCATCTTTAATCCACAGCAGGTGGCATTGATAAGTGATAGCAGTACACCCTCTTCCCATCAGATTATGGTGAGCCCGCTACAATTCCTGTGGGTATTCGAGTCTAGTTTATTTATCTACTTAGGTATCTATTTTTATAGAAGCTCTATATACACCGTGGGTCATGTAATTAAGATTTGAGTTTTGTCATGTAATTATGTTCACAGATAATTATGAAGCAATGTACCCATTATGAGAAATATTTTAGGCCATTGAGCCAAATGTATTCAATTTGAAAGTCAAGATCAAAATATGTTTTGATAAATCATGCATGAGTTATGATGAGAGGTTGATGTAAAGTAGGCCTGCTCAACCGGGTTTACTTGGTTGAGCGTCTGTTATGCTCCCCAGGTTCGGGGTGTGATATTCGGTAGCCTTAACATGCAAGAAGTGTGCTAATATTTTGAGCCGGTCCACAATCACCCAAATCGAATCAAACATGCGAGACGTGCGAGATAGTCCTAGCATGTGAGGTATACCTACCACAAAGTCCATATTGATCATCTCCCACTTCCACATTGGAATTACTATATCCTGTGCCAAGCTACCTGGTTTTTGGTGCTCGGGCTTCACTTGCTGACTGTTTGGACATCTAGCCGCAAAATCTGCTACATCCCTCTTCATGTCATTCCACCAATAGACTTCCTTGATCACAGTACATTTTTGTTTAGCCTTGGTGCTCGGAATACTTGGAACTGTAAGCCTCGGCCATAATTCTTTCCAGAGGCCATCTACATTTGGAACACATAATTGCCCTTGGTACCTTACTGTGCCATCATTCGTTCTAAGAGAAAAAACTATGGTTTTGTGTTTATGAATCACCTCTTTCAATTTCACCAGTAACGGATCGTCATATTGTTTATCCTTGACCTCTATTACAAGTGATGATTCAGCCCTATTTAGCACGATCACCCCCACCATCGCTAGAGTCCATGAGCCAAACTACCAAACTGGCTAGACGGTAAACTTCTTTGGCTATCGGCCTTTGGCCGGCCTCCAAGTGGGCCAAACTACCCATGGATTTTCGGCTAAGATCATCCGCCAAAACATTAGCTTTCCCTTGATGATATAGAATATCGATGTCGTAGTCCTGGAGTAACTCAAGCCATCTTCTCTGCTTCATATTCAATTCCTTCTGCTTGAAAATATATTGAAGGGTCTTATGGTCCATGAATATGTCCACATGGACCCCATACAAATAATGACGCCAAATCTTCAATGCAAATACCACCGCCGCAAGCTCCAAGTCATTTGTTAGATAATTTTTCTCATGATTCTTGAGTTGTCTAGAAGCATATGCGATCACCTTGCCATTTTGCTTCAATACACACCCAAGTCCGATTCTTGAAGCATCACAATATACCACAAACCCATCCGTACCCTCTGATAAGGTCAACACCGGTGTCGTGGTCAATCTTGACTTCAACTCTCGGAAGGTATTTTCACAAGCGTCTAACCATTGGAACATAACTGCATTTTGCATCAATCTAGTCACTGGAGAGGCAACAATAGAGAACCCCTCCATAAACCTCTTGAAATACCCTTTTAAGCCAAAAAAAACTGCGAATCTTTATTGGAGTTGTAGGTCTAGGCCAATTCTTCACATCTACAATCTTTTGAGGATCGACCTTGATCCTTTCACTAGACATGACGTGACCCAAGAAAGTGACATATTCAAGCCAAATTCACACTTTAAAAATTTTTGCATACAATTGTTATGATTCAGAGTTTGCAAGACCGCCTAAGATGATCTGCATGGTCTTCCTGACTTCGAGAATAGACAAGGATGTCGTCAGTGAACACTATCATGAACGAGTTGAGGTAAGACGCGAAGAATTAGTTCATAAGATCCATGAAAGCTGACGGGGCATTCGTCAGCAAAAAAGACATTACTAGAAATTCAAAGTGCCATATCGAATCCGAAAAATCTATTTTCGGAAAATCCTTCTCCCTGTTCTTCAATTGATGATACCCTGATCTTAAGTCAATCATGGAGAAGTACTTAGCACCTTGCAGCTGATCGAACAAGTCATCTATCCTAGGCAGTGGGTACTTATTCTTGATTGTGACCTTGTTGAGCTGTTGATAGTCAATACACATTCTCAATGACCCATTTTTCTTCCTTATAAAGACAACCGGTGCGCCCCAAGTCGACTCACTCGGCCAGATGTAACCCCTCTCTAGCAAAATACTTTAACTGTTGAGGCCAAATCTTTCCCAATGACAGAGATGGTGTTCATCATATTTTCCAATTGGGTCATCCAAATAGTCATAGCAGTCGCAACCAAGATCCCAAGGGCAGTGTCCCGTAAAGGGGCATTTGAACCACCAAAATCTTTTTCTTTCTTTGTCAAAATGTTGACACCAGTCATGTTCTTCCATGATGCTTTCTATATTCCAGAAGAACTCTCCGTCAGGTTCATGGTATGTATCTGTTGTATCTTTGGGTTGAATCATTTGGCAAGAGAAAATGGTAGAACAGAGCAAGAGACTCCAAGAAAGTAAACTAAATCATAGATACGAAAGTTTCCCTACAAAAGGGCTGGCTTCAACAACCCATAAGGGACGGCTTGCCAAGCTACACAAACAGTTAATTTGCTTGTAGTTGCAAAAGTTTTCCTACAAAGGGGCTGGCTTCAACAACCCATAAGGGACGGCTTGCCAAGCTACACAACTCAGAAAACTTTTGTGCTATAACCAATGTTAGCTGTTTATAACTTAGAAAACATTGGTACTACAATAAGCTAACTTTCAAAGAGTATTCTTACACTATTTTCATACATGGACCGGCCTTTCCATCCTTTCGAAAGAAAGAACAAGAGGGAAATTTAGAAAGCACTCATATGTAATATATCACAAAAGATTTACAAAGGTTACAAGATGATCTTACAACTACTACAAGGCCTCCTTTATATAGGACTAGGAGGTTACTACAAGACAAACTTACATTATAAAATAAACCTATCTTACATGGCAAACTTATCTACAAATGGGTCCTTCTTGGCATGTGAAAGACCTTAAGCAAAACAACTTAAAAGCTTTTGAAAACACGTAAAAGGGGTGAAATATACATGGTATAACATGTGAAAGTATACTGGAGCATGTGACGGCATGTGAAAGTAGGGTGTTGCATGTGACGAAGCATGAGGAAGCATGTGGAAACATGTGAAAGCATGTCAAAGTGGGGCCCGGATAATATGGAAAGATGTGGAAATTTGTCTTGGCATGGGTAGATGATTTTTGAGGGTTTTTTTGGTAGGTAATGTAGGATTATGGTGGGATTAGTAGGGATTTAGATAATTATCCTTATTGATTCTAGGGTTGTCTTCTAGGCATCTTTTCAAAGACCTTGTGTTGTAATGCCTGGAACTTGACGATCCTTTTTTGCTGTTTTCTTTCTCCTTTGGATTGAGAGATGTAATCCGCCACCTTAATGTGGAGACTTCGTGAGTGATTTTATCTTGGATGACTTCGTATGGGGTTTGATATTCCTTTGCTGCTTCCCGGACTCTTTCCCAGTGAGGATAAGTGCTGGTGTAATTCCAGCTTGCCCAATCTTTTGGTCATCTCTCTCTCGGGATGCACCTATTTTGTTGGAAGAGGATTCTTTGTGCTTCCCTATATTTTTCTTCCATGGATAAAATGGACACGGGAAATTTCCACCAGAATGATGCCTCTGCTTGCGCCTGGACTTTTCCATTAATAATCTTCACTGGCCTATGGAACATGAATACCTTTGCTGTCTAGGAATCGTTGATACATTTTATCCAATATCTTCTAGGCTTGAACCATAGTAAAAATACTTTATGAGCTGGTTCAATGTTATCAAAATCCTTAAAGACATTGCATTTGAATTCCATAAAAATATAATACCGATGGCATAGGTACCAAAAAACCATAATAGTTCTTCTGGAAAATCCTTGGCTTGTGCTATGAATATATGGCAGAATGGATAGTCTGGATTGACTCCATAAGGCTTAAGAATGGATCCTCCATGTTTACAAAAAACTTGAAGCTCATAATAAGTTCTCCTTTCCATTAAAATTGATGGAACAAAGGGATCCATGAGGTTTAACAACTCCGGTGGATGATCCGTTGGTTTCAATGAGCTTGTTCCTGGTACATTTGAAAACATGAAGATGTGGCTGATTAACTTTTTCTTTGACATCATCTTCGCCGGGGAAAATCTCCTTGAGAATTCTTTCGGTCGAGACAAAAAATATGCGAGAATACTATCCTTTCCTTCCAGGTGCTGGACTTGAAACTTATATGGAGAGAACCATTGAGCCCATATGAGAATATGACAATTCGGAATAATTATTGCATTTATCTGGATCATCTTTGGGAAGGCCTTCATATCCATCTCTATTAGAAGATCTGTATGAATAAGAAAGAAATTGAATTTCTTGATTCCATTCTTTACTGCAAGAATTTCCTTGAAAGTGGAGTGGTAATGTTGCTCGACATCTTTGAACTTTCCGCTGGCATATCCGCATATTTTCCTCTGGCCATCTTTTTCCTCAGATAGAATGGCACTTCAATATTCATTGCTGGCATCAGTTTGTAGTATCTTCTTGCCTTCTGAAGGGATATAGAGGGACTTGACATATTTAGATATCTCCTTTATTTCCCTGACTGCTTTATCTTGTTTCTTTCCCTATGGTGGAGCATTTTCTTGAGCATCTCTGTGAGCGGAGAAATGTATGTAGAGATATTTGGAATGGAATCTCTTACATAATTTACTACACCCAAGAACTATTGGATCTGCTTTGTTGTGAGGCTGGTATCTGGAAATTTGAGTAGTTCCTGACATATATGGGGTCCTGGACTGTATGCACCTTGGACAACATGCATTCCGAGAAAATCAATCTCTTTTTGAGCAAGAACCATCTTTTTTGCTGAAAGCATGATCCCGTATTGTGTTACCAGTGCCTCAAATTGGCAAAGCAAGTTGACATGTTCCTCCAATGTATCACTAAATAATAGGATGTCGTCAATGTAAACTAAAGTGGTATGGAAGATAGGCTGGAATATTTTTATCATGGCTTTTTGGAACAAGGAGCGTGTAGTTTTTAATCTGAAGGGCATAACTTTCCATTGGAAGTGATGATCGGGGATGCAAAATCCCGTTTTGGGTCTTTCTTCAGGGTGGATTCCCAATTGCCAAAATCCAGATTTAAGATCAAACTTGGAAAAATATTTTGCCTCGGCTAAGTGGGAGGAAAGAGTGAGTTTATTTGGAATGGGAAATTTATCATCTTGGAGGAAGTGGTTAAGTGGTTGGTAGTTAATGACTAACCTGAGTTTTCCTCTTGTCTGCTCAGCTCTTTTGTTGAAATAAAATGCTTCACATGCCCATTTTGAATCTGATGGCTCTATTAGATCAAATTCCAAGAGTTCTTCACATTCTTTCTTCGCAAGTTGAAGGTGATCTGGATTCATGCCTGAATGACTGGCTTTTGTTGGATTGATGCTTTCATTCTTCTTAAAAGGGGGCTTGATAAAAAACTCTTCGTTCATCCATAACGGGCTTTTCCCTTTCTTCATAAAATCCTTATGCGATTCAGCACATGAATGCTCAATGAGATTTTGTTCAGTCTCCTTAATTTGTTCGTCGTTGGTGATTTGGAATAGCCTTGGAATTTCAGAATAAGGTTTGAACTGCTTCTTGAAGGTTATTCCATTAGCCCTGATGTGGAGTTGATCTTTTAGTTGTCTGAAAATGTCGAATCCAACAATAAGATCTTTCCCTGGTGCATCTGACCCTATTAGCTTGGTTCTGTACTTCAATCCTGGAAAGAACCCAATTTTTACTAGGTGCTTTGTGATGATGGTGGTAGTCAAGATTCCATTTGATGCAGTGTTGAAATCCTTAAAGTGCGGCACCCATTGATCTTCAGGGAGAACAATAGGATTCATGAGTAAACAAGCAGCTCCAGTGTCAATGAAAGCAATGACTCGAGTTGGTTTATCCCATTTGGATGAATAAACCTTGAGTTCCACTTGAGGGATGATTGTGATAGCATTAATCATGAGTTCCACTTGAGGGATGATTGTGATAGCATTAATCTCTTCCTGGGCTTTAGCGGCCGGTTCAGAAATTTGATAGTGGTCATCACCATGATCTTCGTATATATCAAGAGAGAATAGAGTTTCTTCAGTGGGTTCATCGTCCATAGAGAATATAAACTCGAGGTCTTCTTCTTTTCCGAGATGTATGCTAGTGTAATCTTCAATTTCTTGCAAGAGTTTGACAAATTTCCTCGATTGGGGATAATTTCTTGCGAAATGTCCAATCTTGTGGCAAATAAAACATCTATTCTTTTTTGTGAAAATTGCCCGGCCTCCTTCGTCTGAAATATTTTGTGTGCCTCCTGGACCTTGATTTCCCATCATGAATTCTTGGCCATCTGAACCTCCTGAATCCTCTCCGTCGCCTAGATGTGTGGCAGGAACATCCTGATCCGGTGATTAGATCAGATTTGGGGCATGCTTTGTCAAGCGCTGGATTGTGTTGGATAATTTGTTTTAGGGCAGAGCGCTTCGTACAAATGTCATCCAATGCGACAAAAATAGCTTGCCTGATGTAACCAACTTGTGGATTGTTATGGACTGAAACTTTTCTTCAATGATGGTCATAGTTCGGCTTGCCAACAACTTTGGAAGGGAAGAGACAAAGGCTTGCTTTAGATTGATGTCTCCACCGATCTCGAAGTATATCTTAGCCAGTTTTTTAAAATGTTTGTCAATGTCATTTCTGTCGAATGACACACACTTCATCTCGAAGAGTTGTCTTCGCATCTTTTCTTGTCTTTCGCCAGTATCTCCACAGAAAACTTCATAAAGGATTCTGATGCTGAAGGCAAAGTCTTGGGAAGTAAGAAAAGTGTTTTTGTCTTGAATTCCAAGTGAATTCCACCAATCTCTGTGAATTCCTGAGAACCATGAAGTGAGTTCTGACAAGATGATATACTTTTCTCGTTCCACCAAATTTTGGGTCACCATCCAAGTGTAGAAGTCTTGGAATCTTTGAGGCCATTTTGAAACCTTGACGTCATCTAAGGTGAAAGTATGGAAACCAATTCCAACTGGTTTTGACGCCTGGGCTCATGTCTTCTTTCTGGGATTGGTTCAGCTGTCATGCCTTCTCGTTCCTCATCTACTTCATATATTTCTAGGTCTCTTGGCTGGTTTACAAATATTGGGAGATCATTGTCTTCGGAAGAGTTTGTTGTGGATTCATTTCTTGATTGAGAGCTAACTTCAATTGTTTCATGGTCTGATGAATTTAGAGATTCCGACCATGGGGTATCTTCTTCTGATATGTTTCTTAGCTGGGAAACATAGAGGTCTGGAGCCTTCTGATCAGAAATCATCAGATTTTTGGGGTGGGACCCTTTTTAACTTTCACCATGATCTCCCCTTTTCTTGGTTTGTTTTACCGCTGCAAGAGCATCTTTTCTTTCCCAAATCAGTTTTGCAATATCAAAATCATGTTCTTCTTTTAAGGGTTGGGTGAAAGAAACAGGATTTTGTGAGGCTGTTGGAAAAGTAGAAAATGTGTAGTCCAATTTAGGTGGGGAATATGCTTGTGGCGACATAGGGAAGAAGGTAGTATTTTGAGGGGAAAACTGGGGTCTTTTGTGGCTCTAAGTGGTCATTTCTCAAAAGTTGAATTTGTTCTCTGATGGAAATCGTCTCCTTTTGTTGTTGTTGGAAGAATTTGAAAAGTGAAGTTCCTGGCGGACAAATCTCATATTGTAAATTTTCCAACCTTAGTTCCAAGGCTTTGATTAGTCCTGCATGGTGAGACGATGTCTGCTCCACCTTTTTTCTCAATTGTTTCCACTTTGCTCATCATTTTGTTTTGTGTATGGGCCACATTCTTTATGATGTTGCCGATGTTGTTCAGCACTTTGTTTTAGCAGATGGAATTTTCTGATTGCCAGTTCATTGTTGCTTCAATATCACTTGTCGAGGGGTTTTTCTCCAATAGGTAGCTGTTACACCCCGTGTTTTCGTATGTAAGAGTACATCATAAGTCAATTAATGTGAGCTCAGAAAGGGAATCATCTTTTAAAAGTTTACAAAGTTAGTTCATCATGTTAATGTGGAGGTTACAAATATTTAAGATCATTAGTACCAAGTAGCAAGAGGGTTTGAAGGATTAGAAGCTAAACGAATTGAAGAAAATAAGTTTCGTCGAAAGTCGACAAGTTGGAATATTTTACCATGTACTTTTGGGGTGATAGGGTTATTAACATTATAAGGAGATTATATTATGAGTTATTTTAGTCGTACGATAGTTGGTGTTATGTTTTGAAGTCAAGCGAGTTGTGGAACAAAAGTTGGAAAAGGTCATCACAAGTTCCATTTATAATATGCTGAAATTTAGGTCAAATGTAGATGCACTTTTCTCCCAATATACTTGGAATCAGTGGATTATCTACATATCAAATTGAAGAGCTACGAGTCTAGTTTCCAACGCATTAAACCGTTTGTCGATAAGATATTGGAGTAGAGAGATATTTGCATTTTCGCGAGACAGCGCAGACTGGTAGGTGACAAGTAGGTGCATCACCTATTTGCCAAAATGAGAGGACTTAATTAAAAGCCCCAAAGTCGGCCAAGAGGGGTCTTTTAAGAGAATACAAACTGAGTTATTTCACCTGTATTTCAGACCAAGAAAACCTAATTGAACCCCTGCAACTCCTCCCCCAAAATCCCACACAAACCCTAGGGTATTCCGGGTGTTACGACGCGATTCGAGTGCTGAAAAGTCCGGACAGCATGCTAGTTTCTCTTTCTCCTTCTTGTATCCGTGTTGAGGAACTTATTTTTGATGAAAAAGGAACAGGTTTCGTGGGTGATACTCAGTACAAGGTAAGTTTATGCTTCTCCTTCCATTATCTATGCGTTTGCGAGTTGTAACTCGATCGTAAAGAATAGACATAGCTAGTTTCGGAAGAATGGTATGTTGTTTGATCTTGTGCAATGGTTGGCTGGTTGTGAACTTATTTTTAAGTTAAATTCATGGCTGGTTTAATGGATAAGAGGTGTAATGATGTACTTTTGGTTGTATTTCTCAATTTGAAAGAAAAGACAAGTCGAAACGTGTTTAAGTAAATTGAAAAATTATGTTTGAGTTGATGAACTTGTGGGAGTGTTTTTGGGCTGTTTCGTGTTGGTATTGGGTTGTCTATTTTACTACTGTTTTTATGGAGTTGAGAAGAGTAAGGGTGTGGAGAAACACCACATAATGGCAAGGTTGTTTGTTGGTCGTTCGTCATAACATTTTCAGATTGTTTGACACTATTATGGTTGTCGTGTTGTGTATGAAGTGATAGGGGTATGTTGGGCTGTTTGTGATTGTTTTGACTAGTGTGAAGTCATATATATAGGGGAGGTGCTGTCCGTTTTATTGTAAAATAGGTTGTGGTCGATACATAATAGTTACGACGCTTAAACGATAACGAGAGTGTCATTTCTCTTATTGTAGAGTAAGGAGCCGTGAAATTGCATAACTTGAGGTTGGGAAGAATATACAAGGTATGTTAAGGCTCTCCCTTCATTCTTTTGGCATGATCTATAGTGAAACGAACGTAAACGATACGCTATTTCATAATGAATCTACTCCTAGCAACTAAGGTTGTCCATGTTGTTCTTTCCTACAAAGTTATTCCAAGAAAGTATGTATGATCCTTGAGTCCTAGTGAAGTTCATATTGATGGTATGATGTCCATGATGTTAATCGATGGTGCAATGACCTTATGTCACTCCAAAAGGTTTAGAACGTGACTCCATGAGTCCAGCATGCATTATATATGTATGTATTTTACCTACCGAGCCATGCTATAGTCGGCCGAGTATGGCACCTATTGTGCAACCACTGATCAGTTGGGTTTACCGAGCTCTACGTGGCCGGGTACGTTTTTACCGAGTCCTCTTTGAGGCCGGGTATGATATGATGATGATGATGCGCACAGAGGCGTATGTTTTTAAAAGTTTATGTATATATATGTATTATGCATTTCATGTCAGTAGCCCCCATAGGCACTCAGATGTTACAGGTTGTATCTCCTCTATCTCTCTTTACATTACTGTTCTTATTTATGCTTTCCTGCCTTACATACTCGGTACTATATTCGTACTGACATCCCTTTTGCCTGGGGATGCTGTGTTTCATGCCCGCAGGTCCCGATAGACAGGTTGACATTCCTCCTAGTAGGCTATCAGCTCAGCGAAGGTGTTGGTGTACTCCACTTGCTCCGGAGTTGCCTATTTGGTCAGTATGCTTTGGATATGTATTGATTGGTATGGCGGGGCCCTGTCCCGACCTTTATGATTTTATGTATTGTTAGAGGCTTGTAGATGTCATGTCGGCCTTATAGGCCCGTATGTCACATGTATAAGTTTGTATATCATGTTGGGTCATCATACGTTAAGTATTCCCCTATGTTTTATTCTTGTTATCTCATGAAGGGTTTTCTAGCTCATTTACCCATGATAGTATGATAAGAAAGATATGTTACGTTGGTACTCGGTTGAGTAAGGCACCGGGTGCCCGTCGCGGCCCTTCGGTTTGGGTCGTGACAGTAGCACTATGTTTTTCTTGGGAATTTTTGGAGCATGGCTTATACCTTCTTTTTCAAAAGGTTGAAGTGAAGGAAAATCTTGGGTATGACTGGAGCTTGAAGGACTTAGCATGAATATCTGTGGTTGTGTGGGATTTGTGATTTTTTGAGTTGGTGAAGTTTTAGGTTCAGATGGCTTTTTGGATTTTGGGAATGAGCTGATGGTGGTTTGGGTTTGGGTGTGGTTTCACTATCTTCCCAACTTGGAGTGAATTTTTCTGGTAATTTTGGCCATTCCAGGGGTTTGTAACTGACAAGAAATTCATATTTACCTGGACGGCTTAATGAGCCAATTGAAGGATCTTTATTTTCATATTTGGCTCGAAATTGCTTTTCAGTGGTTTTCCCTTTTCTCTTGGATTTTGGTTTGGTCTTGTTGAGGGCAAATCTTTCCCAATGATGTCTCCAATTGGGTCTTCCAAATAGTCTTGGCATATGAATGCTTTCTAAATTTGCCTCTTGTTCTTTCTTTCGAATGGATGGAAAGGCCGGTCCATGTATGAAAATAGAGTAAGAATACCCTTTGAAAGTTATCTTGTTGTAGTACGAAAGTTTTCTGAGTTATAAAGAGGGAATAGATATAAGTTGTGTTCCTGGTATTACATCTATCCCAAAATCGATCTCCAGGTCTGGTGGGATCCCAGGAAGCTCATCCAGGAAAACATCTCGAAATTCATTCACAATTGGCATAGACTCAAGTGTAGGTGCCTCAACATCGATGTCTGTGACTCGGACCAAATGGTAAATACACCATCGGTT